TAATTGCTTTACAGAATTTTGTGGTTTTCTGTCAAACATCAACAAGAATCAGCCATAGGTACACCCATGTCCCCTCCCACCCATCTCTCTCCCCATCCCACCCTTCTAGATTGTCACAGAGTCCCTGTTTGAGTTTCCTGAGTCATACAGAAAACTCCCATTGGCTATCTATTTTACATATGGTATTGTAAATTTCCATGCTACTCTCTCTATACATCTCACCATCTCTCTACTCCCCTCAATTTTTAAGATTCTTTTTTCATGTGAACCATTTGTAATGGCCTTTACAGAATTTGCTACAATATTGCTTCTGTTGTTTATGTTCTGGTATTCCGGCTATGAGGCATGTAAGATCTCAGCTCCCCAACCAAGGATCGAACCCACATCCTCTGCATTGGAAGCCGAAGTCTTAAACACTGGACCACCATGGAAGTTCCACGGGTGGGATAGTTTTGAGAGACCCTGTTAATGGGCTACTTTGGAAAAATGAAACAGAAACACTAGTGCCCCATTCCTTGCCAAATGAGACTCCCTGAATGAAAAACATTTTGGAGGCTATGAAAAACTGGCTTCCTTAGATCCTGTATAATATTCAGCTCAATAAAGACCCCCTCTCTAGGGCCTACTCATGGTAGGTTTAGGGGGACATAACAACAATAGCTACAGTTGTTAAACATTCACAGAGCCTTTGGCTGATGTGCTTTACCTGTTCCTTCCATTCTCAGGACAAGCCCATTGCATTATAGGTGGGGACTTGTACCACTGCCCACTTCTTACAGAGGCAGAAACAGAAACACAGGTTAAATGGCTCCCTAAAGGTCTCGCAAGTGGTTGGTGATAGAGATGAGATTCAAGCCCAAGCAGCCGGGCTCCAGAGCTCTTCCCTCGGGTGCTCCACCAAACCACCTGTCAGAAGATGACTTTCTGTCACTGCCACTGTGATGAGGGCCTCTTCCATTGCGTGAAGCATGGGAGAGACACCAAGCAAAGATACCTTCAGAGCCTGGGGACAGGGAGGAGAGAATTGCGCAAAGGATATAGGGAGCAAACTCCAGAGGATGACAGGACCAGACAGTGGTAACCCACACACTCTACCCACCCTCTCTGCCGTCTTTCTGCTCCCCTAGCACCCCGCCATCTGTCCTAAAGGCGAGTGCTGCTCCCGCCAGCATCCATTCAGGAATCTCCATGCTTCTAGTTTACCCAAGCCTGCTTACAAATCTTGCTTTATCCAGGTGAGCCAGGCAAGAATACTGGAGTAGGTTGCTGTTTCCTTCTCCAGGGGATCTCCCCAACGTAGGAATCAAACCTGGGTCTCCTTCACTGCAGGCAGATTCTTTACCAACTGAGCTATGAGGAATTATAAAAGTCTATTCACGGGTGAAGAAGAAGGGGGTACAAATTAAGAGAGTATCACTGACATATATAGAAGACCATATGTAAAATAGATAACTGCTGTATGGGCAGAGGGATCTCAACCCGGTGCTCTGTAACAGCTTAGCGCAGTGGGGAGGAGGTTCAAGAGGGAGCGGACACATGGGTACTTGTGGCTGATTCACGTGGTTGTATGGCAGAAGTCAATACAATATCGTAAAGCAACTGTCCTCCAATTAAAAATAAATTTTAAAAAATTAGACGAATGTAAAAAACAAATCTATTCAAAAATCTCAGGACATTTCTATGCACAAAATCTTGGTATATTCATTATCGGGAGCCTTCCCCTGCCTGCAATTTCTATTCTAGTTCAGTGCTTCTCAAGGTATGGGCTGATCAGAATCTCCAGAACAGCTTGTTATAAATGAGTATTCTGTCCTAAACAACAGAATGAAAAGCTCTGAAAGTGGGGCAGGAGGACCTGTATTTTTAACGACCCCATCCAGTGACTCTTTTACACACCAAAGTCTGAGGAGAGTTATCACCTCTAACAGTTTTGGGGAAGCTAGCTATATAGCAATTGTGTTTCATGGGATTCTGCTTCAAGTATAGGTGAAATCTTCCCATATCTATGTAATGAACTTTCTCTAAAGCAACCCCTTTTGTCATCATAACAAACATGTCTCTCACTGTCTGGAGAATAACAATCTCAGTCTGGTTTTAAACATTCTAGAATCCATCTCAATTTTCTAAACTTTATCCCACCGTTTCCAAACGGTGGAATCATTAGCCCCCATAGCATTAATGATTTTAAGATGCACCTGAGGTAAACTTTTCATTTTCATTTTAGAGACAAACGTTTAGTTTAATGTCAATAAAGAAAAACTGTAACTACCATATCCAAGCCTGTGATTTCACAAATACTGGGGCTTAAGTGGGAAATTAAAGAGTTACTGTTTTAAAATATTAAGTAAATACATACTAGCACTGGCAGTACTCAGATAAAAGTCTTAAATTTGGGAAACCCCACCTTGTCTGGCCCTTTTCTGATAGCACCCTCAATTTCAGCCATGCGTTTCTGACCACAGGCATTCTCTGCCTTTATTCCAGCATGTCCATGCCCATGGAATACTGTCTTCTCCCATAAATATCTCTTTAAATGTTATCCATCGTTTCATGCCCAATTCAAGCCTCTTTCCAGGAACCTCAAGATTCTTCCAGCCATCCCAGCATACTCCCTTTTTGAACTCATTTAGAGTCTAAATGAGGTACCATTCATTTAGAGTCTAATTGCTACTTAAGTGTCCATGAGTACCTATTCAGTGTTATTTCCCTAGTGAAATGAAGCCTCCTGAGAGTAACCCATGGTCTCTTTTACTCCTGGATTACACAAAGAGCTAAATGTTCCTGGCTGGATCTGAGCGCAAAACAGGAACTCAGTGAATACATGGGAATTCATCATGCAGCTGAATGAAATGTTCCACAGTGATGAGAAAGGTGGCTGTTGCATGCCTCTGCATCTCCTTACTCCAGGCCAGATTTCTCAGCCACACCTCTTCATTACTGCCAGGTGAAGAGCACAGAGGCTGGAGCCCAGGAAATTCTACCCTAAGGTGGGATTCTGTGGGTGTCCCCTGGCTGACGGGGATGGGAAAGGTGAGCTTAGCCAGCCCAGGTGCCACCTGTCTGCTTCCACAGTCCGGTCACTTCTGCTGCTGTGTCCTCACCCTCAGTTGGAAGAACCAGCGTGGCCGCAGCATCCTCATGAAAACAACCCCAGACAACAGAACCAGCTCCACTACTTGATTCATCCATCCTGAGACTCTGGCCTTTCTGTGTCTCAAGTTTTTTAATCCACCAACACCTAATTCACACTTGCTATAAGGCAAAAGAGACACTGATTCCGAAAGCACTTTAAATTATCACGTACAATAAAAACTCGGGGACACAGCACATGGATCTGCAGAAAGACTTAGACTAGGAGACCAGAGGGCCTAGTTCTCCACTGAGCAAGCCGTGAGCAATAGGAGCTGTGGTCCCTCCTTCCAACCCTGCCCCCTCTGCTTGTCTTATGACCTCAGAAACCCACTTAGCTGCCCTGGGACTCAGCATCCTTGGCTGTGAAAACTGCCTATCACTAGATGATCTGGTCTAGGGCCAAGTCCAATGTGAATTTGAGCACCTTAGAGAGTGACAGACAAACAAGACTAGTGTCCACTGCGCACTTCACTGGACATGCTCCAAAGTGAGGATCATGTGCCAATGTACTCAGGATTTGGGTGGGCCCCAGCAAAGCATCATCAGAGACACTCAGACACCTTTCCCTCCAACTAGCACCTGTTTTGTGGAGAATAGCAGACGTGCTGTTCACCCTACCTGTTCTCCGTCTCACGGTCCAACTCCATCTGAATACACGGCAAAAAGCCTCATTTCCTCACTACCATAGTCATGTTTTTTTCTCCCCCCTTCCTGTCCTAAAACAACAACTTGAAAACCACAGGTTTTGGTGTTAAGATCTGGCTTTGAAATTAGTTATCCCTTCAGCTCCCCCTCAGACATGCACCACTTTCATGAGTGAAAGGACTGAAGGCCAGTGGACAGGAAATGGGAAACGAGTGGGAACTCCGGTGGTGGGAAGGGGGCAGTGGCCAGGGCCATTGGTGAACTGGAATGGAATGGAATGACACTGTGTTCTTTGGGATTCCATTAAGGTTTGCCTGCTTCCCAAAGTGTAAGCCACAAATCTCCCAGGGTTGTACTTGGTGTGGTTTGTTGGAGCTTCCTTGTAAGCCCTGTAACCATGGTTTCGGGCAGACTACATCACAGCCAGGAGCATCAAGGGAAGACAAAAAGCTTTTTCCTATTTTCCCCTAAAATTTCATCCCCTTAAAAAAAGTGTGTGTGTATGTATATGTATACATATGTATATGTACATATATGTATTTATATGTAAGGTGATATGCCAAGGTGATTCATGTGCACTTTGACCATAGGACATCATGAAGTTATTTGTTTTCAATAATTAAACATCTCTCCATGAGGATCAGGTATTTCTCTGTGTAGACCAAAGAACCCTAAAACCATATACACCCAGAGTCACACCTGCTCTCCCTGGAAACATGTAACAAATATAAAAATAAAGAAAATCATTTCCTAATTTAACACCTTCCCTCTAAAAAAGAGCTAAAACAAGGTTGCTTCCCTCTCCTTCTCTGAGTGCCAAGGTTGAATGCATTTGGTTTAGAGTGTGTGCAGAAGGCCTATTACCAAGTCCCTAATATTTTGACAGTGTAATCAATTAACTTGGTCTCAAAAATAGTATCTCATTGCACAGTGTCTTGAAAATCAAAACAGGGAAACAATGTAACTTTAAGTCGATTCAAAGCACTGACTGCCAATTCATCACAAGCAGAACCGTTTGTAAAATACAGCGCTAGTTCCGGATGGATGGACAATGCACTGGGCAAAACCAACTCGGCCCATGTTTCTGGGACCCTGAAGGGGACGAGAGGAGAAGAAATTTTTCTTCCCGCATGTCAGAAGATGAGCTAACTGCCCGACAACAAAATAGAAATGAGCCAGCTTCATCCCGGAGGGAAAAATAAAACAGCTCCTCACTCAGCTACTCAGGACAAAGCCAGGACGTGCGAGAAGCCTTCAGTGTAGGGCTCCACGTGCCTCTCCAAGGACCGAGGAACCCACCCACACACAACCAGCCCACCACGCGCCTGGCGGAAGAAGGCGCCGGCTTCTCCGCCAACCTTCAGCACCGGCAGCTTGGGGTTCCCAGCTTTCGAGCTCCCTGTAGCGCCCGCTGTCTGGACAGGGCAGAGGACCATACCCTCTTTCCAAGACTCATCTTCCATGCCCCAATGCTACTTCTCCCCAACTACTGAGTGTGCTTCCCCAAGCTAATTGACACACACACACACACACTCCAAATGGCACGAAATCCCTGAGCCCCACGACTAAAGCCAAGGTCGTGAGTTCTGCCCCTGGAACCCCACAGCCTGGTTCCTGGACCGGGAGGCGCCCAACTCACCCAGTCCTCGAAGTGACGGCTCCCGTTCTGCAGCAGCTCCTCAAACTGGATGGTGCAGTTGGCCACGAAGTCATCGTAGCCGATGGGGGCATCGTGGAAGACAGCCAACTCAATCTTGCGTCCGTTGCACACATCGGTGACGAACTCGTCGTGCCAGGCCGGGCTGTTGGTCTTCTGCTTGGTGGCCGTTTGGCCGATGCGCGAGTCGTCCACGTTGAGGGCGATGTAGGGGTCGAGAAGGAAAGTCTGCGGCCGGGGTCCCACCGCATGGCGCAGCGACCAGGCTGTGGGCTTCAAGCTCACGGCCTCGCAGATTTTGATCTTAAGAAGGCCATTGAACACTACCATGGTCGGGGCGGGGAGTGGGGGCCGGGGTCACTCCGTCCGCCCCGAGGGCAGGAACGAAGAACCGACGCCGCGGCGCTCCGAGCACGGGACTCTTGGGTCCCCTCTCGCCCCACCCCACACTCTCCCTACACCTTGTAGCGTTGCGCCCTGGCGCGGGCGATTCTCAGCCAGCGCATGTATTTCCTCGCCGGGTTCCTAACGGAAAACAGGGAGGGGGGAGAGCTGGGGGACGTCCGTGTTTGGAGAAGTCTCTCCCCCACCCCCCCCCCAACCAGCAGCACCTCCAGAAGAGGAGACGAGCTGTCGGCTCCGCTGCAAAAGCCGCGGGGGCTGTCTCGTCGCCTCGCTGGCTCTCCGGGTCGGGGCTGTGGGGAAGTGGGCGCCGCGCCGGGCGCTTACCTACCTTTCCGAAACATAATCCCCGGGAAATTTCGACTCCAGGAGGGGGAGGGGGCGGTGAGACGGGGCGGGGACCAGAACGGGGGCGCAGATTTCCACCCGGATCCTCTTCGCACACCCAGCGCCTGCCTCTGACCGCGCAGGGCGGGGGATGGACCCAGGGATGTGCAGTCTACCCGGAGGGATGCATGTCCAGAGGAAATGGTCCTCCTCGGAGCCAAATTTAAAAAAAAAAAAAAAAATCCACAAGCCACACGGCCAGCCGGGCCGCCTCCTCCTGGGCGAAGCCACGCCGCGCCGCAGTCGGCGATCAGGAGGCGCCAGGAGTCGGGAATCTCACATCCGCGCGGGCTCGGGAGTCGGGGTGGCCGCGGCTCCGGCTGGGGCGCAGGCCGGCACCGGGCGGTGCGCAGCGCGGTTGTGTGTGTGTGTGTGTGTGTGTGCACGCGCGCGCGCGCGCGCGCGCCCTGGTGTTTGGGGAAATAGAAAGTTTTGCCGGTTGGGGGAGCAATACGGGAAAAGTGAGCCCAGCAGGGGACTGTCGAGGACCCGCGAGCCTTTCGGGGTCGCGGCGGCCGGCCGGGGAGCGGGACTCGGACCCCGCGCGGGACCCGGGGGAGTGGCGGCCTTGGGGGCGGGGGGATGCGAGCCCGCTGGCTGTGGATACCTGGTCTGTGGTCTCCCGCAGGAGACGAGAAGGCCACGCATCTTTCCAGGCTCTGCGGCCAGCACTGTCTTTTACAGCCGGGAGTGGAGAGGTGGCCGGGGTCGCGCTGCTGCAGAGGACTCGAGACCCTCCCTCGGCCCCACCCCTACTCTGACCGTGGCTGGCCAGGGCAGGCTGCGGAGTATTGGTCGGTCTGTCTGTCATTCTGTCCGGAGACGCTCCGCTCCGTGGTGGTGGGGGAAGGGGGAAAGGGAGGGGCGTGCAAGGCTCTGTGTGAGTTTTAAAACACTTATTCTTTCTTCCCTTTCTTTGGGGGCATTCTCCCTTTCGGGGGTCTGTCCCAAACTTCTCGGGCTGCGAGAACTTGTTGACAAGCGAAAGCTTAGTAACACCCCGACTCGGTTCGTGTGTTTGTTTATATTTCACAAAGTGACTTCATATTTACTCTAGACCTTGCCTGTGTCCTTTGGGGGGACAGTGTTCTGATCAGCGCGCTGACAGGGGCCGTCCCAGCGGCGCGAAAACGGGGCGCGTCCTCCGGCGGGGACTGGGGGTTGTCGGCTGTGTCCGTGTTAATTTCCTCCGTAACCTTTAAACTCTCGCTGGAAGCCGCGGCGGCAGCTGATCACGTGAGGCGGGCCCTGGGCTGCTGGGGAAGAATTTCCTCCGCGGGGAGCCGGGGACGGGGAAGGCGGCCGGGCGAGGGACGGCCTGGCGCCTGGGGACGCGAACCTGGGAGGGCGGGGCGGAGAGCGCGGAGGTCCGGGGCGCGGCCCTGCCTGGAACTGCAGGAGGACAGCCCTGGGAAGAGGTCGTCTCCGCAACCTGCGAGCCGGGGGGCGGGGGGTGGGGTGTTGTGCAAACGGAAAAAGAAAACCTCGGCCCTCGCCCGCGTGCCAAGTCAAGTCAGGGAGTTTGTAGGAATCGTGGTAAGCTGTGTTTATCTTTCGACTCTGGTTAGCCCAAGTTTAAAACCCACCTCTCGATCACTTTTTCTCAGTGAAAAAAAAAAAGTAATCATTGTCTGTGGCTTAGAGGCTTAAAACGGCTTAAAGGCGCAGAAGGAGGCAGACCCCTGGAACGGAAGGCTACCAAGTGCCGCAGACAGGTTGCAAAAATGATCAGAAAAGTCCCGGGCAGATCCCCTCCGAAGGCCTGCAGCTACTGCGCTCTCCCGAGCTTACAGTAATTTCTCAAGCCCTCCAAGTTAAATGGAGCAGCAGGGTAGAGAGAGCTAGCATGCAGTCTTAGAGCCAGAAGAGTCCCGTTCCCGTGGAAAAAGTCAGGATGTAAAAGTTTTGCCTTTCAGGGCCACTCCCACCAGCTGGAGGCATATTTTAAAATTTGTCAGCTTGACAAAGCACAGGTGGGATATCTCATCGCTGTTAACTTTATTTCTTTGATCATCAGAACTTTTTCCTCCTCGCTTCTTACTACCACCATTCTATTATTATTAAGCATGTTTCCCCCTTCATGGGGCATGTGATGGGCTTGATCTTCTACAAATGCATTCGGAAGCCCAGCAAGAGCTAGAGAGAGACTCATAAGATGCCTGACAAAGAGGCAAAATTGAAGGGCTACCAACAAACTGGCCATCAAGATAAATAATATTTTAATATGATATTTTGAAAAAATAAAAATGAATATAGAGTTCCAAGAGGAACACAATATCCACATTTTTAAATAGTTTTAGATATTACATTAAAATAGTATTTGTATTGCTGAGTTTCTGGGCACCCCTGAAATTTTGTGCCCGAGAAGAGGACTTCCTTTGCCTTGCCCCAGCCCCAGCTTTGTGAGGAACTGGAGAATGGCATAGATTTCATGAAAGAGGAATTCTTGAGTGTTTCATACCTTTTCTCTACTCTTTTCTGAGTGAGTCCTATCTTACCAGCAAACAGACAAGTACCAGGATTGAAGACAGTGGTCAAAATCCCTCCTCTTCTGTTTGTAACAGGAAATATATTTAGTAGGGTAGAGAGAGCTAGCATGCAGTCTTAGAGCCAGAAGAGTCCCGTTCCCATGGAAAAAGTCAGGATGTAAAAGTTTTGCCTTTCAGGGCCACTCCCACCAGCTGGAGGCATATTTTAAAATTTGTCAGCTTGACAAAGCATAGGTGGGATATCTCATCGCTGTTAACTTTATTTCTTTGATCATCAGAACTTTTTCCTCCTCGCTTCTTACTACCACCATTCTATTCTTATTAAGCATGTTTCCCCCTTCATGGGGCATGTGACGGGCTTGATCTACAAATGCTTTCAGAAGCCCAGCAAGAGCTAGAGAGAGACTCATAAGATGCCTGACAAAGAGGCAAAATTGAAGGGCTACCAACAAACTGGCCATCAAGATAAATAATATTTTAATATGATATTTTGAAAAAATAAAAATGAATATAGAGTTCCAAGAGGAACACAATATCCACATTTTTAAATAGTTTTAGATATTACATTAAAATAGTATTTGTATTGCTGAGTTTCTGGGCACCCCTGAAATTTTGTGCCCGAGAAGAGGACTTCCTTTGCCTTGCCCCAGCCCCAGCTTTGTGAGGAACTGGAGAATGGCATAGATTTCATGAAAGAGGAATTCTTGAGTGTTTCATACCTTTTCTCTACTCTTTTCTGAGTGAGTCCTATCTTACCAGCAAACAGACAAGTACCAGGATTGAAGACAGTGGTCAAAATCCCTCCTCTTCTGTTTGTAACAGGAAATATATTTAGAATTAAAGACACACTAAACTTGAACTTTTGGCATCTTCTTATGTTCCCCCCCTCCTCCCCAGGCAAGAACCCCAGTGTTATTAAATAGGCCTGTTGCTGTCTCAGGGACTAGGCATTCTTAAAACCAATAACCTACAAGTTTCTAATACCATTTCCCTGGACCTGGGTAGGGATACAGAAAGGCTGCATCTGCCTCTTAACAGACTGCTTGTTGCACCATGTGAATAAATCGTACTGCAATCCTCAGATGTGACCAATCCCAGGGTGACCTTTCCTTTCAATTACAAGTCTTTCTGCCTGGGGGTGGAGGAAGGTGGGGTAACTCAAAGACTTGGCCAAACAAACTTTCTGTTTTGTGTTGGAAGAATATTTAAATAAAAAGGGAGAATATTGGCTGTCTATATAAAAACATTGCCAATTTCCTGACAATTATTACATCCTTATTTCTAAATCAATCTCTCACCATTCTCCTCTCAAACTTGGCTAAATGAAAATATATATCCTCTAGGGGCACCATGGAGATGCCAGAAGTGAGTCTGTTTAGGGAAAAACCTTTAAATTTACCTGTGGGTGGGCGGTTGGATCTAAAATAAGCCCACTGCTCCAGATTTCATATGAAGAGAAAAACAAGCCTTTGCAGGGCAGAGGTTTTAGAATGTCAAATTCCAATCAATAATTACTGCCTACTTCATCCTTCTCTTGGCCCCTGTATAGTCCTGAAAGCCCTGGTAGAGCCATGAGTAAAAAACATCCTTCATAGGCTACAGTCCACGGGGTCGCCAAGAGTCGGATACATCTTAGCAACTGAACCTACACAAAACACACTTTAGAGTCCAACTGTGGCCTGGTGGTTTTGTTATCTTTGGGAGAGGGAAGAGGAAGAGAAGAAAAATGATAGAAGAGTTTGACAAGGACGGTGACTCTCTCCTTTTAAAATTAAGGATCTTAGGGACTTTCCTGGTGGTGCAATGGTTAGGAATTCACCTGCCACTGCAGGGGACATGGGTTTAATCCCTGGTCCGAGAAGATCCCACATGCCTCAGAGCAACTAAGCCCATGCACCCCAACTACTGAGCCTGCTTGCCACAAATACTGAAGCTGGGCGCCTAGTGTCTGTGGGCTGCAACAGGAGAAGCCCCCACCCACTGCATCTAGAGAAAGCTTGCACACAGCAACAAAGTCCCAGCACAGCCGGAAGTATAAAATAAAATTTTAAAAATAAATTGATAAATTAAGGCTCATGAAAAAAGACTGGTGGAGCAAGTGTCCCCAGGGCAATATGATAAGTTGCAAATGGAGGGCTGTGCCAGCCTCTGGGAGTGCATGAAAGAAGAGTCAACGCTTCGCCTGAGGTTGCCTGGGAAGGCATCACCCAGCAGGTCTAGGCTTTTCAACAGGAGTTTCTTCAGAAGCAAAGAGGAGAGAAAAGGGCATTGGAGGCAACAGGAACAGAGTGTGGAGAGCTCAGGCAGGTGAGAGCACGGCTGTTTGGGATGAGTAAGGAACCGGGTATATCTGGCCCTTGAGGTGAGAGGAGGTGAGCTAGGTTGGACTGGATAACTAAGGCCTTGTAGAGCCTACAAAGGAAGCTGGAACTTCCTCCTTGAGAGACACTGATCCTTCTAAGGTGGAGAAGCAGCATAATGGGAGTTAATACTTTTTAAAAAGCCATTTTTCAGGGATAGGTACTTTCTCTTCTGTAATTTTCCTCCAGAAGACTCACCCCAAATACAGGATGTCAGGGAGACAGAAGATCCAAGTCTGAGGACACTTTACCCTCCATCTGATCAAAAAAGAAATGGTCTGTGGATATTGTTGAGCTGAGTAGAAGGAATCAAGGAGGGGTGCCCGAA